AGGTGTCTGACTCCCAGTGCTTTTAGTGGGACCACGATTTCAGACTACTTGCTTCGGCCATCAAGCAGACAGCAAGAAATGCTCAGTAAGTACCTTGCTAAAGTGATTATTACAGATTTCAAGCATGTGACATCCTCCTGAATCTTTCACGGCAAATAAGCTATTGATTCTTTCCTTATCCAGATTAATTAAGTTTCTTTCACATTACCTGAAAAGAAGTGATCATTCTTAAAGGCAGAAAGAGCGAGCTTATCAACCTTGTTAGGTGGCCAGTGTGCTGACATCCCCCCAAAAAAGCAATTAGGAAAGCACTCCTTTCTCCACATTACATAAGACATTTGGAATTAATTAAATATTCAAATTAATTGCTCTGATCTGAATCCAGTTACGACAGGTGTGAGGCTGCTAGTGGTAGCTAAAGCGGTAAGTAAAAAGTCTAGAGGGAGGTCGTCATTTTCTGTTATGAGAAATAGCAGCACCATTCTGGGACAGATTAAAAATAATAATTCAACTGTGGAAGCCTCCTGGATCGTTTTGCAAGTCAATTACTCTCTAAGTGATTAGTTTGGAAAAAGTTATGTGAAAAAGGGAACAGGCCTCCCATTTTAAAATTATTTGTATGACTCTTGCAAGTTGTTTATTTTCTTTATAGCCTTAGGTGGAAAGAAATTAAGTGTGCTTGAAGTGGGAATTACCCACATTTTTCAGCAAAAGCATAATCACACCACACATTCACAGGGCTCAGGCTTTGAAGCCTGTGAAGCTTTCACTTAGTAGGAAGCTTAGGCAAACCAGGCAACTGCTGAAGAAAGAGAGGAGAGTTTAAATACTTCTGTTTTTATTGCATCATGGAAAAACTGATCATTTATCTCATTAAGACGGAGAATTTTTACTGGAGAACCCCTGCTAGGTTTATAAGCTTGCCTGCTGTGTTGACTGTAGTAACTGAAAGAGTAGCATTGTCCCTTTGCCTGGGGATAGATGTTGGCCTTTGTAGCAAGGTAAGGAAGGTAAATTGCTGACAGATTCAGAGTATTTTTTTTTAAAAAAAAGTATGTAAGTCTCCCTTGACTTAAACAGATGGGGCATATAAAATAAATACATGCAACTGCAATTCAGTTCACTTGCAGAAACCTCAGTTATAATAGCTACCTGTGTGCAGAGAGGACTGGCTCATAGCTAGGGCCTGGGACTGAGAATCAGAAGAAATAAATAAAATTTTAAAAAAGGAAATTATTTCTTTCTTAAACTCTTGGTCTATCCATGAGGGAAGCTGGTTACAAGAGCACTTTCAAAAGCACCATAGCCAAAGATGAATAAATTATACTGAAGCAGTTAAAAAATGTTCCCCTGAAGACACTTGAAGCCTGTTTCTCTCAACCATTACACGGAGACATTTCCTCCCCTCGGCTGTGCTTGTGTCCTCTCCAGCTGCAAAAGCAGATAGTGGGTATGTCTGCCTGGATGCAACTTTAAGCAACGGAGCTCTACGCTGATCTCAAGCCCAGCAGATCTGCCCCCAAGCCCAATCTCTCATCACGTACCAAAGCAGCGCAGGTGGTAGGTGACACTCCTCTGCTAACAACCCACCCTCCTCTCCCCTCAGCTCCTCAGTCAATCC